GATTTTTATGTTGTGTTTTTCTCGAAATAATTGGACGACGTTCTTGGTATCTGTAATTCGATCTAAAGATCCGATGTGCGCGGATTATTGCCTCTCGCATCGTTACGACTACCCGAATCGATATCGAAATTGGATTGATGATGTCCGAGATCGTAATCGCCTAGGCCGGCCCGATTAATTTAAGAAATATGCCAGAAAAGAGAAAGCTGGAGGTGCAGCCGCTGTCTGTTTTATCCGCGCATTTGCATTTCAAATAAATCTGTTTTTGAGTCGTACCAAATAAAATTCGTAAATTCCCCCGGTTTCCAGCGCTGCAATTGCACGGAACAAGAGCTGTCAGTCTCGAGGCAACTTATGTATGTCGTTCATTACATTCCCACCCACTAAAATTGAATACAATGGCTATATTTTTAACGTAAGTACCATCGGTGTGGTATTCGAAAATATGTCGAACATCAGCGTGACCTACGACTTCGTGGGTTTGCCAACAGCGGTCGGTTGGGGTACTCCACCCACTTTTCCAACGGGTTGTGCTAGATATTGGCAATAATATAAATTGCGTTATGCCTCATCTTTACGGCGGAAACAATAAACTTTAATTGGTTGTTATTCGTTATTACAAAAATCCTCGGTGTTTATGGCGGGCTGTCGCTCGCGATAATTTATATACCATTAAATTTATAATTTCAAGTGGACGAATCGATAAATGCGGCTGCGGTGTTGACAGTCGGGTGTTTTATCGTATTAGAATCGAACGTCGTCTTTTATTAATCTACGGACAAAAATTACATTCACTTTGTGTTTGATTGCTCGAAATGTACCTGTAATCGGTTTTTGATCCAACAAAAAACCAAGAAAGAAGCAGAACTGCCGCAATTCAACTCCACCCGAGAAGATAGGATCAAGAGGGCTTCCGGATTGCATTGCTGCGATTACGCCGCGTGACGCAATTCCGTTCAGGACGAGCGAAGCACGCAGACAGCCGCAATTACACTCCACTCGTGACGAGAAGACACACTCATCCCCTCGAAGTTGCATTTGCGACAATTAGCGCAATACTATCGGATCCTGACGTTGATCAATTTTTTTTTTTCTTAATTTTTAGTTTTTAGTCCTTAGTATTTAGGTTCATTTGTATTTTAAGAAGGTTCTATTAGTAATTTACCATTTTAGACATGTTTTAAGTTTCTTGTTGTGGAAACAAGTTTAAACATATAACGAAAAATAGGCAAAACGTAAGCCCTTGTAGTTATAATAGTATAGTATTAATTTATTATTTGCCTTACAGGCTTAATAATATTCCCAGTAGGGGTACAAATTAACTTAATCTACCTCAGATAAATCCATAACAATAAAAATAAATAAAATAAAATAAAATAAAAATTCGAGTGTTATATAATAAATATTCTATTCTTTCTGCTTGCCCACCCCTTGCCATAGTTCCCTTATCTTCCATACTTCTTTCATCCAGTCCAGTCCTCTTCCATCCTCGTTTAGCACTTCTTCCCTACTTTCCTCCGATTCTCTCAATCCTTCACATCCTTCCAGCATATGCTCTATTGTTTCTCCCTCTCTCCAACATATCCTACACCTTCTGTCAGTTTCATCCATCCAAAAATTATTCTCTTTCTTTTCATTTCCACACCTAAATCTCGCCATCATTCTTTTCTCCTTTATACTCTCTCTGTGTGTGTACTTTGGTACTTCATCCTTCACTATTTTTCTATAGTCTGCATTATATCTATACTCCGATATTCTCGATCTACGTTCTTGCTTATCTATATCCTTATCTCTTACACTCTTCTTTCATACTCCTTCCCATTTCTCTCATTCTCTCTATTTCTTCACATGCATATCCCTTTCCTTCATAATACTTGTCCCTTTCGTTCCAAACATGTTTTCTCCCTTCCTTTCTTATTTCTTTCCAACATTCTTGCAATATTTTGCAATCACCTCTCTCACTGAACTTCTCTTCAAATCCAACCGCCCTTTTACCCGCTTCCACTCTCATTTTCTCCCTTTTTGTTTCTTCTCTCACTATATACCCCGGCGTATACTTTTCCAATCCCAATGTCCATTTCAAGTATTTTTCTTGCACTCTCTCTATTTCTTCATATTTCCTCCATCCCCAAATCTCAGCTCCGTACATGAATACACTTTTGACCAAACTATCAAACATCATTATTCTTCTCTTATAATCATGTCCAAATTTTCTCTCTCCTATTCCCCATACTATTTCTACCACTTTGTTCGCTTTTCGGACCATTTCTTGAATTGAGTTATTGTTCTTTGATGTATATCCTAAGCACTGGAATTCTTTCACCTGTTCAATGTTCTTCCCTCTCCATGCCCACTCTTCCTTCTCCTTTATTACTCTCTTCCCAAACACCACCATTTTTGTTTTTTGCACATTCACTTCCAATTCCGTTTTTTGTACGCACTTCTCGAAACTTTTAATCATTGTTTTCATTTATTCTCTTTTCTTTGCCACAATCACCAAATCATCTGCGTACGCCAACGACCACACTTTCTCTTTGCCGACTACCACCCCTCCTGTCTGTGCTTTTCTGAACATTTCATCTATATCTCCTAGATAAGCTGCAAACCATGCGGGGCTGAGTGGGCATCCTTGTCTCACTCCTCTATTTGTATAAAAACTCTCACTCTCTATTCCATTCACTCTCACCGTATTTACTGTTCTTCATATATTTCTTCCATTTTCGTTACCAAGTATGCATCTACTCCCTTTCTCCTCAAATACTCCCACATTTTCTCTCTATTCACGCTATCAAACGCTGCTTTGAAATCTATGAACAATGCGTACATTCGTCCACCCTCTTTCCTTATTTCTCTTCCCACTAAATGCCGCAGGATGTACACATTGTCCATAGTACCTCTTCCTTTCCTAAACGCTGCCTGACCGTCTGGTAATATACCCCTTGCTTCCATCTCCTTTCGTAACCTCTCATCGAGTATCATTGCATATATCTTGTACGCCGTATTGAGCAAGGTAATCCCTCGGTAGTTCTTCACATCACTTTTTTGCCCCTTTTTAAATAATGGGATTATTATACCTTCTCTCCACTGCCGAGGAAACCCTTTTCCCTTCCAAACTCCATTTACCACTTCCCATATCTTTTCTTTCACGTCTTCTGTCCCGAACATCCACGCTTCGTTCTGGATTCCATCCCCTCCTGGTGCCTTTCCTCTTTTCAGTCTTCCAATCTGTCTTTCTATTTCATCTTTTGTTATTTCCGAACCTCTCCACATTTCTTCCGTCGTTGTGATTCCTTTATTTATTTTGCAGCATTTTTTCTCACAACCTCCCAATAATTCCATAAAGTGTGTTTTCCATTCATGTATTTTGATTTCAGTCTTCCTTCTCTGTTCCTTGTTTATATATCTCCATACTTGCTCTTCTGTTTTCAGGGACTTTATTGTCTTCTCTTCTTCTTCTCGTTTTTCTCTTTTTCTTTCTTCCCATTTTCTCCTATAATTCTCTCTTGCTTTTAGGTACTCTTCTTTCCTTCCCTTGTTATTCTTCCATTTTCTTAATTTTTCCCTTGCTTTTCTCTTCAACTCACTACATTCTCCGTTCCATCCATTATCCCTCCCTTGCCATATGTATATCTTTCTTTTTTGCGTAGCTTCTGCAATTAGGTTGCTCAGTTCCACCATCATAGCTTCTATATCTTATTTTACTTCGAATTTCTTTTTTTCCTTGTCTACTTCTGTATCTTTGAATTCCCTCTTCATCCCATATTCTTTTTTCTAATTCTTTTCTTTCGTGTCTTCTCTCTTGTTTTTCGTACTCTTGCTCGTTTCCTTTGATTTTTATTTCTAGAGGCATGTGGTCTGATTCTACCCTTTCCCCCACTTTGAAACTCTCTATTTCTTCCCACGCCTCTTCGTTGACAATCCCATAATCTATAATTGATTCTCCCCTCGCCCCTACGTACTTCCATTCTCCTTCTTCATCTCCTTCCTTGTTTCTATTCAAAATTTCCCATCCCATTTCTTCTATTATCTGCCACAATATTTTCCCTTCTTTGTTATTTGCTTTATCTTTTGATCCTCTTTTCTCTCCCTTTTCTTTATCTATTATTCTTGTCCCCTTATCGCCCAATATTGCGTTAAAATCCCCTCCTATAAGTATTTTTTTATCTCCTTTTTCTTTTGTTTCCATTTTTGTAGTTATAATATACCTAATCTGTTTTTGAGACGAATAGCAATAAATCTTGTTTATTAAAAGTGATATTCGATTGACCGCAACTTGTTTGATATGTTCGCTTTCGAGATTTGAGACATTCAGACTAAATTGATGAATTCTATAAAAAGTGTTTTGCGATTTTAGCGCATTATCCATCAGAACAACACTATATTCTACCTCTAAACAGTATTTAGAGTCAATTTCGTCACGGAATCTTTTCGCCGACACTCATCCACATCCTTGACGTGCTAAAAGACCCATCTCTGCTAATGTTACCTCTGTCACATCAAACATCATGAGATTTTAATTGGCGGAAGTGACAACCTCGCGTCGCGGTATCTCCACAAAGCGCGTCTGTTATTATTAGCGGCGGTAGTAAAGTGCAGAAACTTTTCGCTTCAGATTATTAATAGCCCCAATCTATCAAGCCGCAACATAATTCATGAAATATTAATGAATTCTTTCAAAGTTTCCCGGAACATTGTTGCTAAAGTCACCCAGATTGCCGTGATTTATCCTGAAAATAGTCGGTTGATTGTACACAGCAACACGGCGGAGCATTTGATTGAGGGATTTAATTGAATAAAGGGGAGCCATGTCAAGAATACCAACTGGATGCATTTCATAAGAAATGCCCTTCGAGAGCCAGCCATAAAGTCTATTTTACACTCCAGCAGCAACCGCTTAATCCAATTATTCTGTCAAAACCGAATTAATTGAACGAAATGGCTCCGGAATTTGATTTTTATTTTAATTGTGAGCGGAATTATGATGAGGTTTTTTGTTCCAGGGATTTGCAAGGAAACAACATCACGGTCCTGCTGGAAGCGGATTTCCAAAGCCTGGGAAACCTGAGGATACTGTAAGTCGGAGCTTTCGTTTTTAATTCCTTAGGACGGTCAGGAGCTACTCCGGGATCTGAGGCAAAATCGGTTTTAGCGTGACGTTGTGAAACAAAATAACTACATAAACTACCACTAGTAAAAAAATGCCAAGACCGATTGTACCTCTCTGAGATCGAGTGGGTGGCTGAAACGTGTGTTTTTTCAGGCAACTCACAGACAACCAGATACACACAATCGAAAGAGACGCTTTTCAGGATCTTGTAAATTTAGAGCGATTGTAAGTGGCGACCGTCAGACGAAAACAAAATTTAGCTAAAATTCTTTGTTTGTAGACGGCTTAATGGAAATTATATTCGACACATTCCAGACAACTTGTTTTCCACTACGCCTAATTTATTTCGATTGTAAGTACTCGAGTCTAAAAAATCACTCTTCTTTCTCGAAGTCTAACCGCATCAGCTTCGATCGCTTCCTATAATAGCTCTAGAACTTCTCAACTCGAACTTTTTCCCACTGATTGCATTACAATCAGTGTCATCCATGATATACTGACCCTAACTGTGCAATTATGCTAATCCCGCATTAGCCGTACTTTGATTTACCGCAATTTGTCCTGATCATCTTCGATTGACTTGATTATAACGTGATTAATACTAAAAAGTCATTTGCTAATAGGGGGAAAATTACCGGCGGAATTATCTGATCGTTCTGGTTTTTTCCAGGGATATCAGCCATAACATGATCTCCGTAATCGGTAGGAAGACCCTGAGGGGGATCACGGCAATAAAAAATTTGTGAGTTAAGTGAATTGCGTCCGATTGCGACGATACTTATTTTTCTACTTCCAGGCAACTCGACAATAATCGAATCACGTGCATCGACGATCAGGCTTTGAGGAGCTTCAAGGATCTTGAAATTTTGTAAGTATTGCGACGTAGGTAAATCGGGCTCCGGGCAAAGCCGGAGGAAACCGTTTACCGGAATCTTGACAAACGCACTTTCGATTCGCGCACGACTGGAAATTTTTACAAGAGTCGTACAGTTAATATCTTGATTGTCCTACGCACATCTGGAACTTTTTATGCGTGGAGAATTTGACGTGTGCACTTGAGCGTTGATGAGTTCCAAACTGCTGACGCAGACGTAACGAATTATTTATATTTATGCAATTTTCGACCTTTTTACTTGTTGAACATAAGCTAAGGAAGTGTAGTAGGTAATCGAGTCCATCGGGCAACTGTCACTTTCATGTTTTCTCGACGTTTCATGAACTCTAGAGTACGAAAAAACTGGTCCCCGTTTCCGTCTATCTCTCTGTGCACTTATAGTTTTAAGAATTACGTATACACGGTGACTCAAAAAAAATATGAAAGAGACAGATTATTGTATTGAAATCAAGAACAACTTAACTCCATTTTCCCCAAAATTTGGAAAACAGTACTGTTATTATTAGTTTTATATTATTATATACACAGCATTATCCAAATTGATGCACGTATCCTTCCAAAAAAGTTGATGTCGTCATCACTAAATTTTGTAATGGAAAAATTCACCTGAAACAAGCGCATAAAGGTTATCATTAAAAATAAAATTCGCTAAATTTTGTAATTTTTCGAAAAATTTGGATTCACTAAGCTTCGACCAATTTTTGATATCACGATTTTTCGTTTTTCCTTTTTCATAGATTTTACAACTTATTGCTATCACAGTTTTCCCTCTTTTCATTGTCTTTAATTTTCCAATTTTACCAATTTTCAATGTTTCGGTTTCATCATTTTTCGTTTCAACTTTCATTTTTAAACTTTTTCAGTTTCCCGACTTCCAAATTTTTTAATTTTTCGATTTTTCAATTTTTCACGTTATTGATTTTTATTTTCCCGATTTTTAATCACAATTTTTCGTTTTTTTCAAATTTTTCGAATTTTCAATCTTCAATTTTGCAATTATTGGATTTCCAATTATCCGTTTTTTCGATTTCTTTAATTTTCAATGTTTAGATTTTTCAAGGTTTTCACTTTATACTTTTTTAGTCGAAAAGTTGAAAAATCGAAAAATTAAAGACCGAAATCTAAAAAATCGAAAAACTGAAGAAACGAAAAACTGAAACACCAAACCGAAGAAACTTTAAAATCGAAAAAATAATGAATTAAAAAATTGGAAAAAAGAAACCCGAAATTTGTAAAACCGAAAAATTATAGAATTGTCAAAATTGTAAAGTCGAAAAGCTGTCGAAAAATTGAAAAATTAAAAATCGAATCAATGATAAAAGTTTTAAAATCTATTGATTAAAACACGGAAGAATGCTAAAATCCTAAAATCGAAAAAATGCAACATTTTAAAAATTATAATTATTATTACATATTTAAAAATTGCAAATCGAAAATTGAAGAAATGGAAAATTAAAAATCTGAAAATTTAAAAACGACAAATTTTAAGTAAAAAAATTGAAAAATCCAAAAACTGAAAGATTTCACGTTGAAAAAAAAAAATTAAATTAGAACATTGAAAAAGTTAAAAACCAAATTGAAAAATTGTAACATCTAAAAACTGAAAACTAGAAGAGTTGCTTGTCGTAAATTGAAGAAAAAAAAAGTGAAAAACTGAAAAATTGCAGATCGAAAAATTTAAGAAATGAAAAATTGAAAAATCTGAGATTGAAAAACAAAAAATTATAAAATCTGAACATTGAAAAATCGAAAAATTGTAAAAATAAAGAAAATGAAAGACCGAAACGGGAAATTGCAAATCGAAGATCTGAAGAAATGAAATAAAAACTAAAACATCAAAAATTGAAGAAATGAAAAATTGGAAAATCGGGAAACTGAAAAATCTAAAACTGAAAAATTAAAAGTCTAAAAAACTTGAAAAATCGGAAAATTGAAAACCGAAAAATTTTAAATAAAAAAAATCAATAGATCCAAAAACAAAGATTTTACATTGAAAAAAAAAGGAAAACTATTAAATTAGAACATTGACAAAATGAAACACCAATACGAAAAATTGTAAATCGAAAAATTGCAAAATCTAAAAATTGTAATATCCAGAAGTTAGAAAATCGAAAATCTGAAAAATTTTAAAATGAAAATTTGCAGGGTTGCTTGTCGTAAATTTAAAAAACAAAAAAAATGATAAATTGAAAATTTTCAAATAGAAAAATTGAAGATATAAAAAATTGAAAAAACAAAAAAATATAAAATCGGAACATCGAAAAATCGAAAAATTGTAAAAATAAAGAAAATGAAAAATCGAATCGGGAAATTGAATTTAATGAAACTGAAAAATCTAAAATAGAAAAAACTACAACTTCAAAAATTTAAAACTTGAAAAATTGAAAACCGAGAAACCGAAAAATCCAAGATTTCAAAAATAAGATTGAAAACCGGAAAAATTGTACACATGAAAAATTGAAAAATCTAAAAATTGAAATCTCTGAACTGCATATCGGAAACTTAAAAAATCTGAAAACAAAAACATCTAAAAATTGAAAAAACGAAAAATTAGAAAATCGAGAAACTGAACAATCTAAAATTGAAAAAACTAAAAATTAAAAAATTTAAAATTTGAAAATTGATAACCGAAAAATTGCAAATCGAAAAATCCAAAAATTCAAACATTTTAAATTGAAAAAAGGAAAAATCAAAAAATCAGAATATTGAAAACCCGAAAAATTGAACACATGAAAAATTGAAAAAACGAAAAATTGGAAAATCGAGAAACTGAACAATCTAAAATTGAAAAAACTAAAAATTAAAAAATTTAAAACTTCAAAAATTGATAACCGAAAAATTGCAAATCGAAAAATCCAAAAATTCAAAAATTTGAAATTGGAAAAAGGAAAAATCATAGAATCAGAAGATTGAACACCGGAAAAATTGAACACATGAAAAATTGAAAAATCTAAAAATTGAAATCTCTGAACTGCATATCGGAAAATTAAAAAATTCAAAAATTTGAAATTAGAAAAAGGAAAAATCATAGAATCAGAAGATTGAAAACCCGAAAAATTGAACACAAAAAAAATTTAAAAATCTTGAAAAATTGCAAATCGAAAAATCCAAAAATTTTAAATTGGAAAAAGGAAAAATCATGGGATCAGAAGATTGAAAACCCGAAAAATTGAAGACATGAAAAATTTAAAAATCTAAAAATTGAAAAATTGTAAAATGTAAAAACTAAAACATGCAAAAATTGAAACGAAAAATTGGAAAATCAAGACACTGAAAAATCTAAAAAATGGCAGTCTAAAAATTAAAACTTCCAAACGTTGGAAAATCGAAAATCTCAAGAATTTAAAAATGAAAACTGTCGTAAATAGAAAAAACAAAAAAAAATGAAAACTGAAAAATTCCAATAGAACAATTGAAGCAAAAAAAATTGATAAAATTGAAATTGAAAAAACAAAAAATTATAAAATAGTAACATTGAGAAATCGAAAAATTGTAAAAATAAAGAAAATGAAAAACCGAAACGGAAAATTGCAAATCGAAAATCTGAAGAAATGGAAAATTCTAAAATCGTAAAATTGAAAAAGTGAAAACTTTTTAAAATAATTTTCATTATTATATATTTAAAATGAAAACTAGAAAAATTGCAAATTAAAAATTGAAAAAACGAAAAATTGAAAAAACATGAAACTGGAAAATCTAAAATTGAAAAAACGAAAAATAAAACAATTTAAAAGTTGAAAAATTGAAAACCGAAAAATTGAACACATGAAACTGCAAATCGAAAAACTGCAAAAAATTAAAAATGAAAACTAGGAAAATTGCAAATCAAAAATTAAAGAAACCAAAAAATAAAAAATTTAAAAGTTGAAAAATTTTAATTTGAAAAAGGAAAAATCAAAATGAGAACAGTGAAAACTCGAAAAATTAAAAAATTAAAGGAAATAAAACAGTGACCGAAAAATTTAAATTGAACACATGGAAAATTGAAAACTCTTAAACCTGCAAATCGAAAAATTGAAAAATCTATAAACTGAGACATTCAGAAGTTGAAAATCAAAAAACGGAAAAATTTAAAAATGAAAACTAGGAAAATTGCAAATTAAAAATTGAAGAAAGGAAAAAATAAAAAATTTAAAAGTTGAAAAATTTTAATTTGAAAAAAGAAAAATCAAAATGATAACAGTGAAAACTCGAAAAATTGAACACATGAAAAATTGAAAACTCTTAAACCTGCAAATCGAAAAATTGAAAAATCTATAAACTGAAACATCCAGAAGTTGGAAAATCAAAAAACTGCAAAATTTAAAAATGAAAACTAGGAAAACGGCAAATCAAAAATTGAAGAAACGAAAAATTAAAAAAATTGAAAACTGAAAAATTGCAAGTCGAGAAATCAAAAAATCCAAAAATTGAAAAATTTTAAATTGAAAAATTTAAAAACGAAAACTCGAGAAATTTTAAAGCGAAAAATTGCAAAATCTAAACGTTGAAGGAACAAGAAAAATGCAAAACTGAAAAATCGCAAATCCAAACATTGAGGAAAAGAAAAATTGAAAACAATTGGAATCGAAAAAAACAAAAATTGGAAAATGGAAACATTTAAAAATCTAAAAAATTGTAAAAATAAAGGAAATAAAAAACAGGAATGAAAAATTGCAAATCGAAAACTTGAAGAAATGGAAAATCCTTAAATGATCAAATTGAAAAAAATCTAATATTGAAAAATCGAAAAATTAAAAAAATCCAAAGTTAAAAACCCAAGAATTGCAAATCGAGAAATCGAAAAATCCAAAAATTGAAAAATTTTAAATTGAAAAAAGGAAAAATCATAAAATCAGAATATTGAAAATCCGAATAATTGAACACATGCAAAATTAAAAAATCTAAAAACTAAAACATCCAAAAGTTGGAAAATCAAAAAACTGAAAAATTTAAAAATGGAAACTGGAAAGAACTTTTAAATCGAAAAATTGCAAAACCTAAACGTTGAAGAAACAAGAAAAATGAAAACAATTGAAATTGAAAAAACAAAAAATTAGAAAATGGAAACATTTAAAAATCGACAAATTGTAAAAATAAAGAAAATAAAAAACAGAAACGAAAGATTGCAAATCCAGAAACTGAAAAATTAAAAATTGAAAACTCGAGAAACTCAGAGTGAAAAATTGAAAAATTCATGCCAATAAAACTGCGAGAATGTTTTTACGCCACTGGTTTTTACTTTATAGAGATTGTGGGGGAAAAACTCTTAGTTTCAAAAAAACGGTTCCTCGCTGCGCAATTTGGCAAAGCCAATTCATAACTGAAATAACCCCAGCCGTATTAATATGCACGCGTCCATTTTCAGCGATAACCTGCCCTAATGCACCTGTTGCACCTAAATGCAGTTACGTTGTTGCTATTATCCCGGCTTATATTGCCGCACACAATGTATCCTTACAGTCCACTTTATTGCATTCTGTGTATCATAATCCGAACGATCGGCTGCTGGACGTAAAGCCGCTTTAAACGGGAACTGAAAAGCTTCGCCATACAATTTTAATGGAATAACTGAATTCGTACAAATAAATCGAACTTTTGCTACTAGACTATTATACTGCATAATAAAATGGCGAGGTTTTATTGCTATATTTTGAATCGACGCCGGAATTTATCGACTAGAACTCCGGTCTTGCCTCCCTTTTGCCGCACGATGTGAATTATATCGGCGATGAGTTGATCACGTTTTAGTGGTCTCTTAGGCACATTTAAGCGGTTTTACCTGACCTTAACAGACCGCAGCGGCGTATTCCGGTGCACAAGTGGTAGTAGAGATGATGTATTTCAACACCAAATTACCATAAACCGCCACTGAGGGTGTTTATTAATTAAAGGGTTTTGTTCGGGAAATTCGCGCAAATTGAATAAAAAAGCCGCTTCAATAAATGAGGTCATTTGCCGCCGACTATACGCTCGATTTGGCGAACCGATACTACTAGAGTAATCCCTTATTTACTCGGAAAAAAACCACGACATTCCGTCTAATTAAACTTCGCAAAGAACGTCCGAAATAACCTCACATCTGGAAAAAACGCTTTTGGCTCGCTCTGAAAGTGTTTATTTCACGAAATTAATAACAATAATTAACCATCACTTTCGCTCATGTTGGTAAACATCAACCACCCTCTAAAAATAAGCAAGTCGACTTCACAGAGAGCGCTTTCACAAAACTATCAAAGTAAATACGCCTCTTTGATGTCCCCGGAATCAATTTTAATAAACCCGATTTACTGTCAACAGGACTCTGAATAACAACAACCTCACGTGGATCGGCAAAGATATGTTTAGCAACATGTTCAGGCTGCGGACGCTGCGACTCAGCGACAACCTCCTCCACTGCGATTGCCAATTGTCTTGGCTGGCCAGGTACCTGAGGCACTCGCCGCGACTGGCCCAGTACACCAGGTGTCATTCACCCAACCACCTCAAAGGGCAGAACATCGCCGACCTGCAGGAGCAGGATTTCAAGTGCTCGGGTGAGTGCGCGCAAAAACGTTGTGGTTCGGAGCTGACTGTGATTGCTGCGGTGGAGTGGCGACACTGATCATCGATTGCTTGTCGACACAGTGTTAACAAGTCATACTGAGATCAGTGGTGGCACGAGAAATGCATTAATTACAGCGACTCGACGAGGTTTTATTGTCCATCGTTTTATAATTTACGTTAAGTTAACCACAGGAACTTCAAGATTTCTGAAGCCTGTCACGGTTAATTTGCTCGGTATTTAGTCTACTTAACAGTAATGCAGGCAAAGGTCAAGGCAGCCACAAAAAATTCTTCATTGCAGTTTAATGACTGTCCTGCTATTTTGCTGGAATTTTTTTAACGAACAATGAGTACTTAAAGTTTTCTCAATTTAAGAATTATTTAAATACACCAAAGGTCGCAATTTCTTAATTACCAACTTAAAAACGTCACGATACAGAAGTAACTAAGTGGCCAACTTTGATTTCGTATATTGCAAAAAGCAGACTACAATAATGGAATTATATTCCGAATGCGATACACTTACTAGTAAACTTGAAATCAAATCAATCCCACTTTGAGTGGAAAAGTTTGTAATGTCATCAAGAGACTAAGTTACTAGCGACACAATTTGTATTATTTTTTTATTGGCCCAAATATAACAGGATTTAGAATTTGGCAGCAGTCATTTACGTTACAAGTATGACAACAACTACAGAATTTTTATCTTTCAATTGAGGATTTCGGATGAGTTCATTATCAAGACAAGTGTGTCTGTCTGTCTCTCTGGTGTCTGTATTTTTATTACACCAGTAATCTCCGAAACTACTGGACCGACTACTGTCATATTTTGCATGTATATTAGGAATATCATGTACGAGTAGATGGTTAAACGCTAATTAAAATTTGGCTAATCATCCCCACCACAAATGGGATGACGTCATTTCCAAAATTTATAATAAAGTTTTTTTTTAATTTTATAAAATAAGATAGGCCTGCACTTGTGGTGTGTGAATCTTCTTTACTTTTACTTTAACCTTACATACATATCTTTTTTTGAACTTATAAGGGTTCTCACCAAAAATAAAATTCGCATAATCAAATTTTATCATTTTTCGAAAAAGTTGGATTTGTTTTATTGTATTTCAGGGGCGACGGATAATTTTTCACATTTTGGCGTTTGTGGATTCAAGAAATTCGTTAAAAGACTTCAGAAATTTTACTTTTCAAGCGTTTTCTTGTGGTTTCAAGCCTATCAGGACACCTTACGGGCCCGAAAATACCAAAGAAACCTTCAAGCTCTAGCTAGAAGTCATATTTTGGTCGAATTTTATGAGTTCTAGTTTTAATTTTTCGATTCTTCTGTTTGTCGACATATTAATTTTTCAATTTTTAATCTTTCGATTTTTTGATTTTATGCTTTTTCGATTTTCCGATTTTTCAGTTTATCTATTTCTCGAGTTTTCGATCTTTCAATGTTTTGATTTTTCGACTTTTATGCTTTACGATTTCTTCCAATTTTTCGATTTTTCAGCTTTGGGAAGTTTTCAATTTCCGGATTTTTATTTTTCGATTTTCAAAATTTTTCATTTTTCCAATGTTCAATTTCTCCACTTTCGTATTTTGATACTTCAGTTTTCAGTTTTTCGATTTTTAAAATCTTTGAGTTTGTCGATGTTGGAATTTTTCGAGTTTTAAATTTTCCTATTTTTCAGCGTTTCGGTTTTTCAATTTTTCAATTTTTAAAATTTTTTAATATCTCGATTTATAGATATTGGATGTTCCAATTTTTCGATTTCTCGATATTTCGATTTTTCAATTTTTGATTTCTCGACTTTTTAATTTTTCGGTTTTTAATTTTTCTATTTTTCGATTCTGCATTTATAAAGAGTTCGATGTTTAGATTTTTGGATTGTTCAATTTCCCGATTTTTCGGTTTTTCATTTTTTGATTTTTCGATTTTTGTAAATTTAAAATTTCCAATTTTTCAATTGTTAATTTTCCAATTTTTCGATTTTTTAATTTTTCGCTGTTTTAATTTTTCTATTTTGCGATTCTGCATTTACCAAGCGTTCGATGTCTGGATTTTTGGATTGTTCAATTTCCCGATTTTTCGGTTTTTCAATTTTTTTAGTTTTCGATTTATCAATTTTTATAAATTTTAAATTTTCTAATTTTTCGATTTCATGCTACATATATTTTTTCTCGATCTTATGGTGTCTTGATTTTCCGATTTCTAGGTTTTTCAATTTTTCAGCTTTTCTATTGATAAATCTTCCATTTTTCAATACTCAATTGTTCGATTTCCCAATTTCTCGAAATTTCAGTTTTGGGATTTTGCAATTTATCAACTTTTCACTTTTTCGATTGTTCAATTTTGGGAAGTTTTCAATTTCTGGATTTTTATTTTTCAATTTTTTTCCAATTTTCAAAGTTTTTGATTTTTCGATTGCTCAATTTTTCAACTTTTCGGATTTTGATACTTCAGTTTTTCAGTTTTTCGATTTTTAAAATCTTTGCATTTGTGGATGTTGCAATTTTTCGATTTTTAAATTTTCCTATTTTTCAGTGTTTCGATTTTGAATTTTTCAATTTTTAAAATTCTTTGATATCTCAACTGATCGATATTAGATGTTTCAATTTTTCGATTGCTCGATTTCTCGATATTTCGATTTTTCAATTTTTGATTTCTCGATTTTTTAATTTTTTGGTTTTTAATTTTTCTATTTTTCCATTCTGCATTTATCAAGAGTTCGATGTTTGGATTTTTGGATTGTTCAATTTCCCGATTTTTCGGTTTTTCAATTTTTTGATTTTTCGATTTATCGATTTTGATAAATTTTAAATTTTCCAATTTTTAAATTTTTAATTTTTCGATTTTATGCTACATATATTTTTTTCTCGATCTTATAATGTTTTGATTTTCCGATTTCTGGGTTTTTCATTTTTCAGCTTTTCTATTGATAGATCTTCCAATTTTTCAATATTCAGTTGTTCGATTTCCGAATTTCTCGAGATTTCAGTTTTGAGATTTTTCAATTTATCAATATTTTACTCTTTCGATTGTTCAATTTTTCCATTTTTCAGTTTTGGGAAGTTTTCAATTTCTGGATTTTTATTTTCAATTTTCAAAATTTTTGGCTTTTCGATGTTTTTTAAGTTTCGATTGTTTCGAAACTTCAGTTTTCAGTTTTTTGATTTTTAAAATCTTTGAGTTTGCTAATAAATATTTTAAAGCTATGATAAGCATAATAAATTTTTAATCAAAATATGTTTACTTATCCCCTCCAAAAAAATGATGACGTCAGCTCAAAATTTTGTCGAATAAATCCTATCTAAAATGTGCAAAATATGATCAGTCTGTACTTATAATTTATCATTGCATTCATATTTTTTAGATTTGATTATACAGGGTGACTCAAAAAAATTAATGAATGAATCATTTTATTTTATTGAATAAATCAAGAATTGCAAAATTGTTATTGCAACTATGTAATCAAATATATCTGTTTATTTCCCCCAAGAAATTTATGACGTGATCTCAAAATTTTGCCGAATAAATTCTACCCAAAATGTGCAAAATATGATGAGTTTTTACTCGTGATTTATCATTGCATTCCTATTTTTTAGATTTGCCTCTTATTTTCTCAGAGGATATGTGATTTTCCAAAATTAGTCTTATCTTAGCAAGGACTAGATCCGCCCACCCGTCCTCTATTTTCTTCGGGGGTTTGACATCTGCTAAAATCAGTTTTATCTTAGCAAGTACTAGCCCCACCCACCCACCCTCTATTTCCTCACAGAATTATATCATTGCCAAAATCAGTTTTATCTTAGCAAATACATACTGCATTTTGGCAAATGACATACCTTTTAAAAAAATAGAGGGCGGGTGGGCGGGGCTAGTCCTTGCTAAGATAAGACTTATTTTGGAAAATAACATACCGACTGAGAAAACTGAGGGCGGGTGGGTGGGGCTACTACTTGCTAAGATAAGACTTATTTTGGCAAATGACATATCCTTTGAGAAAATAGCGGGCGGGTGGGCGGGGCTAGAACTTGCTAAGATAAGACTGATTTTGCCTCTATTAATCTTGTAAAAACTTGTAAAATTTCCATGCTAACGAATTCAATTCCTAAATCTGATTGGATGTTTCATTCTACTGCAGGAGCGAGGGAAGTTCTGTTGAAGCAACTTTCGACCAATTTTTTGATTTTTCGATTTATCGTTTTTTATAAATTTTTAATTTTTCGATTTTATGCTACATATTTCTTTTATTCGACGTTTCGATTTCCCTATTTTTGGATGTTCTGATTTTCCAATTTCTAGGTTTTTCAATTTTTCAGCTTTTCAGCTTTTTTATTGACAGATCTTCCAATTTTTCAATGTTCAATTGTTCGATTTTCCAATTTTTCGAGATTTCAGTTTTGGGAATTTTCAATTTCTCAATTTTTCAGTTTTTCAATTGTCAATTTTCCGATTTTTTGATTTCTCGATTTTTCAAATTTCTCAAGTTTTCAACATTTAGTCATTTGTGTCGCCCTTTTTCTTTCGTCGTTCTGTGTCGTTTTTTCCCACTTTTTTCACCTGCTCTTTTCACTTTTTTTTCGTCCCCCCTTTTCTATACCACTTTTATCGTCTTTTATTTCTTGTTTTTTTTTCTTTCTTCTATAGCCATTTCTGTCCCCATTTTTAGCATGTTTTTATTATTTGATTCTTTCTTTTCGATTTTTCTATTCAATTTGGCATATTTTTCTAATTTTCGATTTCTTGAATTTTTATTTTTCAATTCTCCAATTGTTCAATTTTCAATTTTTCATTTTTTGGGTTTCTAAACTTTCGATTTCTCGAGTAATCGATTTTTCGATTTTGTTGATTTTTTAAATTTTCCAGTTTTAGATTTTTCGGTTTTTTATTTTCCCATTTCCCGATTTCTCAACTTTTCAAAGTTTCGATTGCGCGACGTCTCGACTTCTCGATTTTTCAGTTTTTCAATTCTTCAATATTTCCATTTTCACGTTTTTGCTTTTTTAATTTTTCGACTTTTAAAATTTCTATCTTTCAACTTTTCGATTTCTCGAAATATCAGTTTTTTGATTCTCCGGTTTTTCTTTGATTTTTATGTTTTGGATTTTTCCATTTATAAATTTGCGATCAGTTTTGGGATTTTTCAACATTTCGATTCTTAAATTTTGCGATTTTTTAGTTCGATTTTTTTTCTTCCCAGTTTTTCAACATTTGATGCATCGATTCCTCGATTTTTCAATTTTCGATTCTTCAATTTTTCGACAATTTAATTTCCGATTTGTTGTATTTTACATTTTCAGGTGTCTCGATTTTTAGATTTTTCAGTTCCCCGAATTTTCTATATTTGAATGTTTCGATTTCTTGATATTTCGATTGTCCGATTTTTGGGCTTTTCGATTTATCAGGTTTTTTTTTTCATTTTCTCCATTTTTCAGTTTATAGATACTTCAATTTTTCAATTTTACGATTTTTTTAAATTTTCACATTTTTCTATTTGTTTATCACAATTTTTTACTATTTCGATTTAACATTTTTTTTTATTTTTACTACTTCTTTTTCTAGTCTTTCTTATCGCCTTTTTGTAGCATTTTTTGCCTTTTTTTTATCATCTTATTTCTACCTTTTCACTTATGTTGCACTTTGTTGTGGACTTCTTTTCGCTTTTTTTTCTTGGTCGTTTTTTCCCACTGGTTTCGCCTGATTTTTCTTTTTCACTTTTTTAATTCGCTTTTTTTTCGTTTCACGTCAAAAAAAACAAAAATTATATAATCAGTACAATGAAAAATTGAAAATAAAGAAAATAATAAACCCAAACGAAAAATTGCAAATCGAAAAATGAAAAATCTTAATTTGAAAAATCTAAATATTGGAAAATTATAAATAGATTTTTCAATTCTTCGATATTCCGGTTTCTTCATTTTTCAATTTTTCGACCATTTTTTTACTTCATTTTGGAAATTTACGTGCAATTTAAAATTGTCAGTTACTGTTTATTATTATTATTGAAAGTTTGCGGTATGAGTCAAAGGCGAACGCGGCAATCTATATTTCCCCGTAGTCATAATTTCCAATAAAACATATATTAAATATACTACGTAATGATCCTAATTTTGATATCATGCAGCCGAAACACGTGGTATACGTCAATAATAGCCGCTCTGTGATAAATATTTAAGCAGGTTTTTAATAGTTGTAAATGAATTATTCCAATAAATGTTTAATTTAATTTCGTCATTAAATATTTAACAAAATGTCCAATAAAATGTAGCAATAATTCAGATAATGTGCTTATTTCCAACGAAAAAAAAAAAAACTCTCATAAACGCATTCTTAAACATTTTTTTACTAAAGAAACCCCGACACACTACTGGGGAACTAAAACCAAATGAAACAAAGTTCTAATCTTGTATTATTTATTTATTTACAACGTAACCCACGCTCCTCTAAAACGTCCTTGACCACTCAATCCGGCTCACCGCGCGCCCGTAAGCCGGCAACCAGTCATCCAACCTGTTGATTACCCACCACGCGCTCCTTTTTTCCCCGGATTAATTCGCATCCTTAGTAAAAAATCCGGGAACTGTTCCAGGCCTGGCCGAACGAGCCATCAACGGCGAATGCATCGGCGAACCCCAGTGTCCTCACCCTTGTCGCTGTGCGGACGGAATCGTGGATTGCCGGGAAAAAGGACTCAGCAAAGTTCCGGATCATCTTCCGGAAGGGACGACGGAATTGTAAGCGTGTTTATCGATTCGAGGGCTTAGTTGGGTGCGGCCGCGAGAGATGGCGCTGCAGGCGCATCTCACGCACGGGTGACGTACGCTTTAGCTTTTAAAAGGAAACGGGTGTTGTTCGAATCAAAAAAGGGTGCTTGCTACTTAATAGCACATTGGGTTAACCGCCCTGTGGGGTATGGCAATCAAGACATACCCAGCACATAATTTTTGTTCCTGTGGAGCTGTTTCTTGGCATTGATCCAGAGGCGCTCCCGCTGAGCCAATCAAAACACAATTAAACATTTTATAGCCCACCTGGGCAACTAATTACTTAATTAATTCGTAATTTAATTGAATTTTGACTTACAGGCGTCTGGAAATTAACGAAATTAGCGAAATTCCGGCCAAGGCTTTCGCTGCCCACAAACGGTTGCGACGAATGTAAGTGGCCTTTAATAAATACAGACTTGTCTTAACACGTACTTTTTAGAGATATAAGTAACAACAAAATATCTAAAATAGCCCCGGATGCATTTCAAGGTTTAAAGGCTCTCACAACCCTGTAAGTACAACAAACTTCATGATTCTCGGTTTAATGATGAATTTCAGCGTCCTCTATGGCAATAAAATCAAAGATCTGCCAGCTGGAGTTTTTCAAGGTCTGGTGTCGCTTCAACTCCTGTAAGTTCTTACTAAATCAGATAACACTTCTTTATATAGTCGTTTCAGGCTTTTAAACGCCAACGAAATCTCCTGCATACGAAAAGACACGTTTCGCGATTTGCACAACCTCAGTCTCCTGTAAGTACTCAAATCATAAACAAAAAATTAATTACTAGTTACCTGTTCTAGGTCTCTCTACGACAATAATATCCAATCTTTGGCCAACGGCAGTTTCGACCCGTTACGCAGCATCCAAACCTTGTAAGTAGTTTCTGATTCCACTAAAATTACTCTAAAAATTTTATTGTAGACACCTAGCGCGTAACCCTTTCATCTGCGACTGTAACCTAAAATGGCTCGCCGAATACCTTCATAGAAACCCGATTGAGACTTCGGGCGCCCGCTGTGAATCCCCGAAACGGATGCAAAGGCGCAGGATTGAAGCCTTGAAGGATGAAAAGTTTAAATGTAAGGGTAAGCACCTCCACTTCTATCAGTGGCAATGGTGTCCATTTTTCTGTTAACAATCATACATCACATTAACGATCATTTTGACCGAATTTGGGGGCGGTGTGACGATGTGGCGGTTGCAGGTCAAGAGGAATTCCGGACGAGGTTCGCTGGGGAATGTCTGATAGACAACGCGTGTCCATCTGGGTGCAGCTGCGATGGTACCGTGGTGGATTGTTCCGGGCGAGGGTTAAAAGAAATACCACGGGACGTACCTTTGTATACCACGGAACTGTAAGTAGGGTAACAATAATGTTAGAAATGGTAAGAATCGGGTTTCAGGTTGCTGCACGACAACGAACTGGGTCGAATCAAATCGGACGGGCTCTTCGGACGACTACCAAACCTAATCCGGCTGGACCTTCGCAGGAACCAGATTACAGGAATCGAGGAAAATTCCTTCGAAGGAGCGTCCCGAATTTACGAATTGTATGTCTAATCCAATTGTTGTATTTTGTTTAAACCTGTCGTTCCAGGCTTCTCTCCGAGAACAAATTTTTGGAAATACACAACAAAATGTTTTTGGGACTTCACAGCTTGAAAGTACTCTCTCTAAATAACAACCAAATCACTTGCGTCATGCCGGGGTCCTTCGACCATTTGACGTCACTGCACACTTTGTAAGTGTACCAACTTTGCAAACACTTGCTACTATATGTTGTAGGAACCTGATGCAAAACCCTTTCATGTGCAACTGCCACCTGGCGTGGTTTTCCGAGTGGTTAAAAAATAAAGGCCTTAGTGGTTCCCCGCCCAAATGTGCGGGGCCTGCACGAGTCAAAGACGTCCCAATTAAAGAACTACCCAAAAACGAATTCAAGTGTACGAGTGACAACGACCAGGGTTGTTTGGGTGAAAACTACTGTCCACCGAAGTGTTCGTGTACCGGGACTGTGGTGAGGTGCTCTAGAGCCAAACTCACCGAAATACCCAGAGGGATACCACCCGAGACGTCCGAACTGTACCTAGACATCAACGAAATCACCACGATCCAAGCCGATAGAATAAGTCACTTGAAGTCTTTGACGAGATTGTAAGTACCGCGATCGTGAAAATTAACTCTTGTCATTAAAATTTTCCAGGGATCTCAGTAGTAACAAAATCGGGATGTTATCCAACTACACCTTCGCCAACTTGTCGAAACTGTCCACTTTGATTATTAGTTACAATAAGTTACAATGCGTGCAACGAAGCGCCCTAACGGGACTAAAATCCTTACGGATTCTGTAAGTGGTACCATTGCTTAAGTATATTATAGTTGGACAACCTAATACAAATTTTACTTCGCCTAAATAGTGAGATTTTTCGGCTTTTCGACTTCTCGATTTTTCAACTTTAAATGTCTCAATTTTTCAAGATTTCAATTTTGGGCTTTTCCAATGCTTCCATTCTTCAAATTTTCCATTTCTCGATTTTTTATTTTTCGATGTTTCAATAATACGATTTCTCCATTTTTGTCCTCTTCAATTTTACGGTTTTTAAATATTTCAATTTTTCAAATTTTCACGTTTCTAAATTTTCGGTTTTTCGATTTTTCACATCTTCAATTCTTCAATTTTTCGATTTTGCTTTTTTAGATTTTCGATTTCTCAATTTTCCAATTTTTTTATTTCTCAATTTTTTGAATATTTCTTTCAGATATGAGATTATCAATATTTCAATTTTTCGACTTTTCGATTTTTGAATTGATGGATTTTTTTTGATTTCTCGATTTTTTACTTTTTGGATTTTCAATTTATTGTAAACTTTAGATTTTTCAATTCTGCGACTGTTTTATACCTCGATTTCTCAATTTTTCAACTCTTCGATGTTTTAATATTTCATTTTTTAAAATTCTAGGTTTTTCGATATCTCGAGTTTTCAGTTCTTCTATATTTCAATTTTTCGATTTTTTAAATTTCAATTTTCGATTTTCCAGTTTTTCTTTTATTAAAATTTTTCGATTATTCAATTTTTTAATTTCTCAATTTATCGAATTCAGATGTTTCGTTGGTTTGATTGTTCAATTTCTCAATTTATCAATTTTTAACTTTTTCGATTTCTCGATGTCTCAGTTTTTGAATTTTTCGATGTTTCGATTTTTGGATTTCTCGGTTTTTCGATTTTTTTCTTTTGAGCTTTTCAATTTCTGGACTTTCCAATTTTTCAATGTCCCGATTTTTGAATTTTTGAATTTTTTAAATTGAATTGGATTTCTCGATTCTTCAGTTTTGCGATATTTTAATTGTTCAATGTTTTAAATTTTAGGTTTTTCGATTTCTCGATTTTTTGACTTTTCAGTTCTTCAGTATTTAAATTTTTCAATTTTTCAAATTTTTACGTTAAATTTTCAGTTTTCTGATTTCTCAAAGAAGCTATTTTTGATTTTCCCACTTCTCTCGATTTTTCAGTTCTTCAATTCTTCGATTTTTCGACTTCGTTTTATTGGTTTTTCGATTTCTCAATTTTTGGACATTTATTTCAGTTTTGATATTTTTCAATACTTCGATTCTTTGATTTTTCAGTTATTCATTTTTTATACTTTCGATTTTTCAATTTTTCGATTGTTTTATATTTCAATTTCTCAATATTTCAACTTTTCTATATTTTAATTTTTAAATTTCTGGATTTTTCGGTTTCTCGAGTTTCCAGTTCAATATTTTAATTTTTCAAATTTCCGAATTTTTAAATTTTTTGAGACCTCAATTTATTGAGATTCGGATGTTTCGATGTTTTGATTGTTCAATCTCTCGCTTTATCAATTTTTCCACTACTAGATTTTTTGGTCTTTTGATTTTTCGATTTCTCGATGTCTCAATTTTTGAATTTTACGATGTTTCCATTTTTCGATTTGTTGGTTTTTCGATTTTTTGCTTTTCGGTTTCTCGATTTTTCGATGTTTCGATTTTTGATTTATCCGATTTTTCAATTTTCCAATTTTTTCAATTTTCGACTTCTCTATTCGTTGATTTTTCAGTTTTTCGATTTTTAAATTTTAGATTTTCGAATTTTTATTTTTTTGATTTTTTGATGTTTGGATTTCTCCATTTTTCAGTTTTAGGATATTTTAACTTTTCAATGTTTTAAATTTTAGATTTTTCGATTTCTCGATTTTTTTGACTTTTCAGTTCTTCAGTATTTAAATTTTTCTATTTTTGATTTTCCCACTTCTCCCGATTTTTCAGTTCTTCAATTCTTCGATTTTTTGACTTCGCTTGAGTGGTTTTTCGATTTCTCAATTTTTGGATTTTCTTTCAGTTTTGATACTTTTCAATACTTCGATTCTTCGATTTCTCGACTTCTAAATTTTCGATTTTTCAATTTTTCGATTGTTTTATATTTCAATTTCTCAATTTTTCAACTTTTCCATATTTTAATTTTTCAAATTTCCGAATTTTTAAATTTTTTGAGATCTCAATTTATTGAGATTCGATTGTTTCGATGTTTTGATTGTTCAATCTCTCGCTTTATCAATTTTTCCATATTTTTGGCCTATTTCGGTTTCCCAATTTTTCAATTTTTCCACTACTAGATTTTTTGGTCTTTTGATTTTTCGATTTCTCGATGTCTCAATTTTTGAATTTTACGATGTTTCCATTTTTCGATTTGTTGGTTTTTCGATTTTATGCTTTTCGGTTTCTCGATTTTTCGATGTTTCGATTTTTGATTTATCCGATTTTTCAATTTTCCAATTTTTTCAATTTTCGACTTCTCTATTCGTTGATTTTTCAGTTTTTCGATTTTTAAATTTTAGATTTTCGAATTTTTATTTTTTTTGATGTTTGGATTTCTCCATTTTTCAGTTTTAGGATATTTTAACTTTTCAATGTTTTAAATTTTAGATTTTTCGATTTCTCGATTTTTTGACTTTTCAGTTCTTCAGTATTTAAATTTTTCTATTTTTGATTTTCCCACTTCTCTCGATTTTTCAGTTCTTCAATTCTTCGATTTTTCGACTTCGCTTTAGTGGTTTTTCGATTTCTCAATTTTTGGATTTTCTTTCAGTTTTGATACTCTTCAATACTTCGATTCTTCGATTTTTCGACTTCTAAATTTTCGATTTTTTATTTTTGGATTTTCAGTTTTTCATTTTTTATACTTTCGATTTTTCAATTTTTCGATTGTTTTATATTTCAATTTCTCAATTTTTCAACTTTTCTATATTTTAAGTTTTCAAATTTCCGAATTTTTAAATTTTTTGAGATCTCAATTTATTGAGATTCGGATGTTTCGATGTTTTGATTGTTCAATCTCTCGCTTTATCAATTTTTCCATATTTTTGGCCTATTTCGGTTTCCCAATTTTTCAATTTTTCCACTACTAGATTTTTTGGTCTTTTGATTTTTCGATTTCTCGATGTCTCAATTTTTGAATTTTACGATGTTTCGATTTTTCGATTTGTTGGTTTTTGGATTTTTTGCTTTTCGGATTCTCGATTTTTCGATGTTTCGATTTTTGATTTATCCAATTTTTCAATTTTCCAATTTTTTCAATTTTCGACTTCTCTATTCGTTGATTTTTCAGTTTTTCGATTTTTAAATTTTAGATTTTCGAATTTTTATTTTTTTGATTTTTTGATGTTTGGATTTCTCCATTTTTCAGTTTTAGGAAATTTTAACTTTTCAATGTTTTAAATTTTAGATTTTTCGATTTCTCGATTTTTTGACTTTTCAGTTCTTCAGTATTTAAATTTTTCTATTTTTGATTTTCCCACTTCTCTCGATTTTTCATTTCTTCAATTCTTCGATTTTTCGAATTCGCTTTGGTGGTTTTTCGATTTCTCAATTTTTGGATTTTCTTTCAGTTTTGATACTTTTCAATACTTCGATTCTTCGATTTTTCGACTTCTAAATTTTCGATTTTTTATTTTTGGATTTTCAGTTTTTCATTTTTTATACTTTCGATTTTTCAATTTTTCGATTGTTTTAGATTTCAATTTCTCAATTTTTCTACTTTTTCATATTTTAATTTTTAAATTTCTGGATTTTTCGGTCTCTCGAATTTCCAGTTCTATATTTTAATTTTTCAAATTTCCGAATTTTTAAATTTTTTGAGATCTCAATTTATTGAGATTCGGATGTTTCGATGTTTTCATTGTTCAATCTCTCGCTTTATCAATTTTTCCATATTTTTGGCCTATTTCGGTTTCCCAATTTTTCATTTTTTCCACTACTAGATTTTTTGGTCTTTTGATTTTTCGATTTCTCGATATCTCAATTTTTGAATTTTACGATGTTTCCATTTTTCGATTTTTTGCTTTTCGGTTTCTCGATTTTTCGATGTTTCGATTTTTGATTTATCCGACTTTTCAATTTTCCAATTTTTTCAATTTTCGACTTCTCTATTAGTTGATTTTTCAGTTTTTCGATTTTTAAATTTTAGATTTTCGAATTTTTATTTTTTTGATTTTTTGATGTTTGGATTTCTCCATTTTTCAGTTTTAGGATATTTTAACTTTTCAATGTTTTAAATTTTAGATTTTTTGATTTCTCGATTTTTTGACTTTTCAGTTCTTCAGAATTTAAATTTTTCTATTTTTGATTTTCCTACTTCTCCCGCTTTTTCAGTTCTTCAATTCTTCGATTTTTCGACTTCGCTTTAGTGGTTTTTCGATTTCTCAATTTTTGGATTTTCTTTCAGTTTTGCTACTTTTCAATACTTCGATTCTTCGATTTTTCGACTTCTAAATTTTCGATTTTTTATTTTTGGATTTTCAGTTTTTCATTTTTTATACTTTCGATTTTTCAATTTTTCGATTGTTTTATATTTCAATTTCTCAATTTTTCAACTTTTCCATATTTTAATTTTTAAATTTCTGGATTTTTCGGTTTCTCGAGTTTCTAGTTCTATATTTTAAGTTTTCAAATTTCCGAATTTTTAAATTTTTTGAGATCTCAATTTATTGAGATTCGGATGCTTCGATGTTTTGACTGTTCAATCTCTCGCTTTATCAATTTTTCCATATTTTTGGCCTATTTCGGTTTCCCAATTTTTCAATTTTTCCACTACTAGATTTTTTGGTCTTTTGATTGTTCGATTTCTCGATGTCTCAATTTTTGAATTTTACGGTGTTTCCATTTTTCGATTTGTTGGTTTTTCGATTTTTGATTTATCCGATTTTTCAATTTTCCAATTTTTTCAATTTTCGACTTCTCTATTCGTTGATTTTTCAGTTTTTCGATTTTTAAATTTTAGATTTTCGAATTTTTATTTTTTTGATTTTTTGATGTTTGGATTTCTCCATTTTTCAGTTTTAGGATATTTTAACTTTTCAATGTTTTGAATTTTAGATTTTTCGATTTCTCGATTTTTTGACTTTTCAGTTCTTCAGTATTTAAATTTTTCTATTTTTGATTTTCCCACTTCTCTCGATTTTTCAGTTCTTCAATTCTTCGATTTTTCGACTTCGCTTTCGTGGTTTTTCGATTTCTCAATTTTTGGATTTTCTTTCAGTTTTGATGCTTTTCAATACTTCGATTCTTCGATTTTTCGACTTCTAAATTTTCGATTTTTTATTTTTGGATTTTCAGTTTTTCATTTTTTATACTTTCGATTTTTCAATTTTTCGACTGTTTTATATTTCAATTTCTCAATTTTTCAACTTTTCCATATTTTAATTTTTAAATTTCTGGATTTTTCGGTTTCTCGAGTTTCCAGTTCTATATTTTAAGTTTTCAAATTTCCGAATTTTTAAATTATTTGAGATCTCAATTTATTGAGATTCGGATGTTTCGATGTTTTGACTGTTCAATCTCTCGCTTTTTGAATTTTACGATGTTTCCATTTTTCGATTTGTTGGTTTTTCGATTTTTTGCTTTTCGGTTTCTTGATTTTTCGATGTTTCGATTTTTGATTTATCCGATTTTTCAATTTTCCAATTTTTTCAATTTTCGACTTCTCTATTCGTTGATTTTTCAGTTCTTCAGTTCTTCAATTTTTCGATTATTCAGGTTTTTGATTTTTCAATTTTTCGATTTTTTAAGTTTGCGATTTTTCGACTCTGCTTTTTTGACTTTTCTGTTTCTCAATTTTTTAATTTCCTAATTTTTGGATATTTCGTTCAATTTTGTGATTTTTCAGTTTTTCGATTTCTCAATTTTAACTTTTCAATTTTTAAATTATTAGTTTTTTTCGATATTTTGAGTTTTCGGTTCTTCTATATTTCAATTTTTCAATTTTCGGAATTTTTAAATTTTCGATTGTCCAATTTTTTTTATTTTTCGATTTTCCAGTTTTTCGATGTTTGGATTTTTGAATTAACCGATTGTTCAATTTCTCGATTTTTAAATTTTAGATTTTCCAATTTTTATTTTTTTGATTTTTTTATCATTCGATTTCGAGGATTTACTGCGTTACATATTACAATATATTACATATGTAATAATAATAATAATAACAATCACGTGCTTATAGACTATTTTTACTCCCTTTCGTAAGGTACCGCCACTTCATAGTGAAGCGAGTGAGATGTAAAATATATGTTCATTCTTTTCTACATGGGAAAGTGATTGTCCATATAGGTTGTCCAACTATAATATACTTAAACAATGGGGGTACCTTGATTAAGTTCGTTGTTGCAAAAATTCGGGTTTTAGGTCCCTTCATGGTAACGAAATCTCGATGATCCCTGAAGGCACCTTCGCCAACCTCAAATCCATCAGCCACATGTAAGCATACTCGCAATCTCCCAAATGGCCAATAACATTTCCAGTTGATTCCAGAGCTTTAGGCTCCAACCCCCTCTACTGCGACTGTTCGCTTCGCTGGCTTTCCGATTGGGTCAAAGTCGACTACGTCGAGCCCGGAATAGCCCATTGCGCGGAACCCCCCACCATGAAAGACAAGTCCATCCTATCAACCCCATCTACGGCCTTCCAGTGTAAAGGAAAAGTAAGCAACGAAATCTTGGCCAAATGCGACGCTTGTTTCACCTTCCCGTGCAAAAACGGCGGCAAATGCGTCACTCTACCCGAAAGAGACTACGAATGCAGATGCGCCCCCGGGTACCACGGGAAAAACTGCGAATTTATGATTGACGCCTGCTACGGAAACCCGTGCCGGAATGGAGCAACGTGCAAGGTTCTGGAAGAGGGGAGGTTCAGTTGTATGTGCGGCGCGGGATTCACCGGGTTGCGATGCGAAACGAACATCGACGACTGTGCGAACAACAAGTGCCAAAATAACGCAACTTGCGTCGACTTGGTCAACTCGTACCAGTGCAAATGTCCCGCAGGGTTCATGGGTAAGTACCCTTTGAAATCGTTTGTTTGTTCTAACAATGCATTTAGGTCAATTTTGCGAGACCAAAATTCCCTTTTGTACCGACAAATACAACCCCTGCAAAAACAATGCCCGGTGTGTGGACCACGATACTTACTACACTTGTGAGTGTTTACCGGGTTTCAAGGGTGAAAACTGTACCATAAACATCGACGACTGTGAAAACCACATGTGTCAGGTAACTAAGCTCTCATTGTACCCAGATTTCGTTTGTAATCCCGGAATTGTAGAACGGTGGGACGTGCATTGACGGCATCAACGAATACAAATGCAAGTGTGAAGGCGACTTTAGCGGCAAGTTCTGCGAAATCACCCCACTGGTGGCCATGATGTACCCCCAGACGTCGCCTTGCCAACACCACGACTGCGTCCATGGGGTGTGTTTCCAGCCATCCGGGTCCAACGACTACCTTTGCAAATGCGCCCCGGGTTACTCCGGTAAGGGTTGTAAATCTACAACAAAACTGAATTAATATGGGTATCTAGGTAAACGTTGTGAGTATCTAACGAGCTTAAGCTTCGTTCACAACACGTCGTACGTCGAACTCGAACCTTTACGAACGAAACCCGAGGCTAACGTAACCATAGTATTTGCGACGTCGCAAGAAAACGGGGTTTTAATGTACGACGGACACCAGGAGCACTTAGCGGTGGAACTCTTCAACGGCCGGATTAGAGTGAGTTACGACGTCGGAAATTACCCAGTCTCGACAATGTACAGGTACATACAAAATTGTCTCTGCGACTTTCATCCCTAAACGTGTATTTTATAGTTTTGAAATGGTCGCTGATGGTATCTACCACGTAGTCGAACTAATCGCAATCAAAAAGAACTTTACGCTTCGAGTCGATCGAGGTCCTGCGAGATCAATAATAAACGAAGGTTCAAAAGATTACTTAAGACTAAGCACGCCGATGTACTTAGGGGGGATCCCCCCGGAACCCGGTCGACAAGCCTTCACCCAATGGCACCTTCGCAACCTGACCAGTTTTCACGGTTGCATGAAAGAGGTGTGGATTAACCACAAACAAGTCGACTTCGGTAACGCCCAGACCCAACAAAAGGTTCAACCTGGGTGCGGGATAGTGGAAACGGATCGCGACGACGAAGAGCAAGAAGACGAAATGGACGAAATGGTCAAAGAACCGGCGGCGGTTCCGTCCGACCCATGTCTCGACCATCATTGCAAACATGATAGTAAATGCGTGCCTACAGATAATGGAGAGTATGTATGCAAATGCAAACCTGGGTTTAAGGGGAAGTACTGCGAGCAAGGTAAGGACGAGTGTAAGTATGGCTGGACGGAGCTAACTTTTCTTACTTAGCATGCCAAGCTAGCTAATAGTGCGTCTGCTTGTGGGTAAGGAGTGATGGGGTTTCAAAATGGGTCGATTTTCATTCAAAAAATATATTATGCAACCTGCGCATAGGTGGCTATAGCTATTTTCTTTCTGTCAACTGGGTGATGATTGTTTAGAGGTGTGGAAAAATCCACGTCAGGTAGCAGTGGTTGCTGGGGGTGGTGTGGATTTTTCCGCGTTGAAGATTTTCGAGTCGAGCGATCTTGAATGGATGTTAATGTGAGTGTGATTCTAGCTCCGACTTGCCGGAAAGAACAGAAGCGGGAATATTACACGGAGAATGACTGCCGGTCGAGGAAACCACTTAAAATAGCCAAGTGCAGCGGGAGCTGTGCGTCGAGTTGTTGTCATGCGCGGAAAAGTAAAAGAAGAAAGGTAAATATGCTTTTTTGATATTAGAAAGAGATGGCACTAGACGACTAAAACAATATACGTCTGTAAAAAAACACAATCTAAAAGAAATTAAATTTCAAATAAAGTTGAAACATTGAGGAATACAATTTTATATTGCTATTTCCGTAAAATTTTGAAATTAAAAGAAAAACCGAAAATGTCGGTGGCTCACAAACATGACTAAAAACCATAGTTCGTTATAAGGACCCGAAAAAAATGTTTTTCAAAATTTTTATTTGCCTAAAAATGTAGACAAATTCAACAGTGTTTTTATAAAACTTGGAACGCTTCAAAATTTCGAATTTTGGTTCAAAAAATAAATTATAAGAAAACAAAAAACACTCTCTAACTCTGTAACGAATGCCACTTTTAATAATATGTATATTGGGGCCTCAAAACTCGTAAAATCGTAAAATATGAAAATGCGTCTGTTCAGCAAAAAAAGACTCAAACCAGAAATTCTTTAAATTAAAAAAAAAACATCAGGGACCCCAGTACTATTTTTAATTCTTTCAAAAAAAAATAAATAATTGCTGGAAAACCCAAGATCCTTTCAATTGTTAAAAAAAAGACCTGAGGTTTCTAGAATTCGATATTTTTTCAAAAACGAATCAGGAGGGCTCCCAGGATTGTTTCAATTTTTTTCAAAAAACAAAAGGCCATGGATCCTAAATCCTAAAATAATTACTCCAGGGCCCAAGATTCTTCAAATTTTCAAAAAAAAAAAAACAAAATACAATAGGAGCGCCAAATAAAAAAAAACACTTAGAAACCCGAGATTCTTTCAAATTTTTTCAATAACAAAATAAAAGGCCTCAAGATTTCTAAAATTTTCTTCAAAAAACAAAATACAGACCATAATCTCACATTCTTTCAAATTTTGCAAAAAAAACATGAAAATCCTTTTTATTAAAAAAATCTCGGGAACTCGAGATTCTTTAAATTTTTTTCGAAAACAAAATACCAACAAACCCTCAAGATTCTTTCAATTTTGTACACTATTCTTATTTCTTTGGAAAAAAAACCGGGAAAGATTCTTTAAAATTTTTTTCAAGAACAAAATAAAAGCCCCCAAAATTTCTAAAATTTTCTTCAAAAAACGAAAACCAGAAACCCCAAAATCCTTTCAAATTATTGTCAAAAATAAAGTGGCAGAAATCCCCAAGATTACTTTAAATTTTCTCAAAAAAACAAAACACTCAGAGGCCGAGATTCTTAAAAAAACTCCAAATTTTTTTTCAAAAACAAAACACCATTAGCCCCCAAGATTCCTTCAAATTTTTTCGAAAAATAACACCAGAGTAGCTTCAAAATGAATTTTAATAAAAAAAAACAGGAACCCAAGATTTTTTTTATTATAAAAAAAACGTACGGAAAGCCGAGATTTTTTAAAAAATTTTCAAAAACAAACCAACAGAGGTCCTCTACCTTATTTAAATTTTTTTCAAAAAACATAACACCAGAGATTCACAAAATTCTTTTTTTTAACGAGTCCCCAAGATGTTTAAAAAAAAATCGATAATCCGAGATTTCTTTTTTTTTCCAAACACAAAATACCAGAAGCCCTCAAGTTCTTTACATTTTTTTTTTTTCAAAAAACATTTCAAATTCTTACAAAAAAAGGAAAAAACTGAGACCCTGAAATTATTTCATTTTTTTTTTTAAACGAACCAAAAATTTAAATTATTCTTAATTCTTTGAAAAAAAAAATCGAGATCAATTCTTTAATTTTTTGTTTCAAAAATAACCCAGCAGAGGGCAAGATTTTCTTAAATTCCTTCAAAAAAAAATAAATAAATAAATACATACCATAATCTCAAGTCTTTCAAATTTTGCAAAAAGAAAAACAGAATGACACCAAAATCATTTTTAATTAAAAAAAAACCTCGAGAACTTGAGATTTTTTCAATTATTTTTCAAAAACGAACCAAAAGGGACCTCCAAGATTAGTCTTAATTCTTTCAAAAAAAAAAAAAAAAATCGAGAACCCGAGATTCTTTAAGAAATTTTTCGAAAACAAAATACCAAGAAACCCTCAAGATTCTTTCAAATTTTTTCATTATCCTTAAAAAAACAAAAAATCGGGGAAGATTGTCTAAAATTTTTTTCAAGAACAAAATAGAAACCTCCAAGATTTTTTTTTTTTTCAAAAAAACGAAAAACCAGGGACCTCACGATTATTCTTAATTCTTTCAAAAAATAAATATTGGGGAACCCGAAATCCCTTCATTTTTTTTCTCAGAAAGTGGCAGAAGTCCCCAAGTTTACTTCAAATTTTCTCAAAAAAAAAAAAAAAAACAAATTATTTTTAATAAAAAAATCGGAACCCAAGATTCTTAAAAAAAACTCGAAAACCGGAGATTCTCCAATTTTTTTAAGAAGCCAAAAAAAAATCGGGAAACCAAGATTTTTTCAATATTTTTTCAAAAAATTACACCAGAGTAGTTCCAAAATCAATTTTAATAATAATAAAAAAACGGGAACCCGAGATTTGTTTTAATTAAAAAAATGCGCACGGAAAGCCGAGATTTTTTAAAATTATTTGAAAAACAAACCAACAGAAGCCCTCTACATTACTTCATTTTTTTTTTTTTTTTTTTTTTTCAAAAACCCACCAGAGGTTTCCAAAATCTTTTTTTTTAATGGAATATGGGGCCCCCAAGATGTTCTCTAATGCTTATAAAAAAATCGATAACTCGAGAATCCTTATTTTTTTTCCAAAAACAAAATACCAGAAGCCCTCAAGTTCTTTACATTTTTTTTTTTTCAAAAAACGTTTATTAATTTTTACAAAAAAAGGAAAAACAGGGAGCTCCGAAATTCTTATAAAGGAGACCCTGAAATTCTTTGATTTTTTTTAAACGAACCAAAAATTTAAATTATTCTTAATTCTTTGAAAAAAAAAATCGAGATAAATTCTTTAATTTTTTCTTTTATTTCAAAAAATAAACCAGCAGAGGCCAAGACTCTCTATTTCCTTAAAAAAAAAACAAAAAAAAATACATACCATAATCTCAGTCTTTCAAATTTTGCAAAAAGAAAAACAGAATGATACCAAAATCATTTTTAATTAAAAAAAAAACCTCGGGAACCTGAGATTCTTTAAGAAATTTTTCGAAAACAAAATACCAAGAGACCCTCAAGATTCTTTCAAATTTTTTCATTATCCTTAAAAAAAACAAAAAAATCGAGGAAGATTGTTTAAACTTTTTTTCAAGAACAAAATAGAAACCTCCAAGATTTTTTTTTTTTTCAAAAAACGAAAAACCAGGGACCCCACGATTATTCTTAATTCTGCCAAAGAATAAATATTGGGGAACCCGAGATACTTTCAATTTTTTTCTCAGAAATGAAGTTGCAGAAGTGGGGACTTCTGCAACTTCAAATTTTCCCAAAAAAAAAGAAACACCAAATTATTTTTAATAAAAAAATCAGGACCCAAGATTCTTAAAAAAAAAAACTCGGAATCCAGAGATTCTCCAATTTTTTTAAGAAGCCAAAAAAAAAATCGGGAACCCAAGATTTTTTTAATATTTTTTCAAAAAATAACACCAGAGTAGCTCTCCAACATCAATTTTAATAATAATAAAAAAACAGGAACCCGAGATTTTTTTAATTAAAAAAAAAGGCGCACGAAAAGCCGAGACTTTTTAAACTTATTTGAAAAACAAACCAATAGAGGCCCTCTAGATTATTTCAATTTTTTTTTTTCAAAAAAAAAACCATCAGAGGTTTCCAAATTTTTTTTTTATGGAATAGGGGCCCCCCAATATGTTCTCTAATGCTCAAAAAAAATCGATAACTCTAGATTCCTTCATTTTTTTCCAAAAACAAAATATCAGAAGCCCTCAAGATTCTTCACATTTTTTTCAAAAAACATTTCAAATTTTTACAAAAAAAACAGGGGGGCTCCGAAATTCTTATAAATTCTTTCTCGAGACCCTGAAATTCTTTGATTTTTTCTTAAACGAACCAAAAATGTATTCTTAATTTAAAAAAAAAAATCGAGATAAATTCTTTCAAATTTTTTTAAGAAGCCAAAAAAAAATCGGGAACCCAAGATTTTTTTAATATTTTTTCAAAAAATAACACCAGAGTAGCTCTCCAACATCAATTTTAATAATAATAAAAAAACAGGAACCCGAGATTTTTTTAATTAAAAAAAAAGGCGCACGAAAAGCCGAGACTTTTTAAACTTATTTGAAAAACAAACCAATAGAGGCCCTCTAGATTATTTCAATTTTTTTTTTTTTTCAAAAAAAAAACCATCAGAGGTTTCCAAATTTTTTTTTATGGAATAGGGGGCCCCCAATATGTTCTCTAATGCTCAAAAAAAATCGATAACTCTAGATTCCTTCATTTTTTTCCAAAAACAAAATATCAGAAGCCCTCAAGATTCTTCACATTTTTTTCAAAAAACATTTCAAATTTTTACAAAAAAACAGGGGGGCTCCGAAATTCTTATAAATTCTTTCTCGAGACCCTGAAATTCTTTGATTTTTTTTTAAACGAACCAAAAATGTATTCTTAATTTTTTGAAAAAAAAAAATCGAGATAAATTCTTTCAAATTTTTTTTCAAAAATAAGCCAGCATAGCCGAAGGTTCTCTTTGATTACTTAAAAAAAAAATCCAAAATACATACCATAATCTCACAAAATTCTTCCAAATTTAGCAAAGAAAAAGAGAATGACACCAAAATCCTTGTTAATTAAAAAAAACTCGGTAACTCTTTCAATTTTTTTCAAAAACGAGTCAAAAGGGACTCCCAAGATTTTTGTCATTCTTTAAAAAAAAAAATCGAAAATCCGAGATTCTTTAAACAAATTTTTGGAAAACAATACCAAGAAACACCCACGAGTTTTTAAATTTTTTCATTATCCTTAAAAAGCAAAATTTTAGATTCTTTCAAATTTTTTTCAAGAACAAAATAGAAGCCCCCTAAAATTCTTTCAATTTGTTCAAAAAAAAAAAAAAAAAAGAGAACACGAGAGGGGCGCCAATTTTTTTTTTTATTAAAAAAAACACTCAGAAACCCGAATTTTTTTCAAAAATAAGCCAGCAGAGGCTAAGATTCTTATTAATTAGTTCAAAAAAAAAAGACATACCATCACAAGATTCTTTTAAAAAAACAAAGTGACCGCAAAATCCTTTTTATTAAAAAAAAAACCTCTAGAACTCGAGATTCTTTGATTTTTTTTTTTCGAAAAATCAAACAAAGGCCACCTGAGATTATTTCAATTTTTACAAAATACCCAACGGGGACCCCAAAACTTTCCTTAATTCTTAAAAAAAAAAAATGAGAACCCGAGATTCTTTAAAATTTTTTCCAAAACCAAAATAGCAGAAACCTTCAAAATTCTTTCAATTTATTTCATTATCCTTAATTCTTCAAAAAAAAAAATCGGGAAAGAATCTTCGAAACTTTTTTCAAAAACAAAATAGGAGCCCAAGATTCCTTAATTTTTTTTCAAAAGACGAAGGACCAGGGCCCCCAAAATAAATAATCGGGAACCCCCGATCCATTCTAATTTTCTCCAAAAAAAAAAAAAACACAAGAGGGGTTTTAGCTAAAAAAAACTCAGAACCCGAGATTCGAATTCTTTCAAACATAAGCCAGCAGAGGGCCAAAATTCTCCTAATTCTTCAAAAAAAAAAGATTCTTTAATTTTTTTCCAAAAACACTACTTTAGGCCTCAAGATTCCTAAAATTTTTTCTACAATTAAAATACAAAAGCTTGCAAGATTCTTTCAATTTTTTTTTTCTTTTTGAAAAACGAAAAACAGCCCCAAGATTATTTTTCATTCCTTCAAAAAATTAATACATACTCGGAATTTTATTTATTTATTTATTTTTTCAAAACAAAGTGGCACAAACCACAAAAAAACTCGGAATTCGAGATTCTTCCGATTTTTTACAAAAACAAGCCAGAAAGGCCAAGATTCTCCTTAATTCAAAAAATAAATTAGCCCCAAGATTACTCCACGTTTTTTCAAAAAACAACACCAGAGTAGCTCCAAAATCCATTTTAATTTTTAAAAAATTAGAAACCCGAGATTCTTTAATTTTTTTTTTTTTTCAAAAAACAAAATAGCAGATGTTCCGAGGTATTTTTTAAATGGAAAAAAAACTTGAGAACCCCAAATTCTTTCAATTTGTTTTTCAAAAAAATGAGACACGAAACCTCTTATACTTTTCCCTAATTCTTGAAGAAAACCCATAAAATTTTTCCCAAAAACAAAATACCAGAAACATTAGTTAACATTTCAATTTTTTTCATAGAATGAATGCCGGGGGTCGGAGGACGACATTCTTTTGAATTTTTTTAAGATTCTCGGAGCCCTGAGATTCTTCCCATTCTTTTTTCAAAAACGAACCAAAAGAAACCCACAAAATTGTTCCTAATTCTTTGAAAAAAAGGGCATAGATTTTTTATTTTTCAACAAACAAAGAACCAAAATTCTTTTAACAAAAAATATCGAAAATCCGAGATCCTTTCAATTTTTTTCAAAAACCAAAACACCAGGGGCTCCCAAGATCTTTTTAAATTCTTAAAAAAAAACACTCGGGCCCCAAAAATTTTTAAAGTTTTTCGAAAACAAATCAGAAGATTTTTACGTTATTTTTCAAAATAGGAAACACCACAGGCTCCCAAGATTATTTTTGTAAAAAAAATCGGGAATCCCAGATTCTTTCACTTTTTTTTTTAACGAAACACCAGGGGCCCCGAACATTGTTTTTAATTCTTAAAAAAATACTCGGGGCCCTGAGATGATTTAAATTTTTTTCAAGAAACCAAAATGAACTTTTATCAAAAATAAAAAACACTTAGGGACCTGAGATTAAAAAAAAAATTCAAACAATGAAACACCAGAGTGACCCCAAAATTTTCTGTAATAAAAAAAAATCAAGAACGCGAGACCCTTTTTACTAAAAAAAAAAGTAAAAAACTCGGACTTCCGAGATTCTTTCAATTTTTTCAAAAAATAAAACACCAGAGGCCCCTAAAATACATTTTAATAAAAAAAATGGAAATTTGAGTTTCTTCTTCTTAACATTAAAGAGAGACATGGGATTCTGACTGAAATTCATTGACATTTTTCATTTTCAAAACGAACCAGCATAGGCCAAAAATTCTTTTTGATTCTTTAAAAAAAAAACTCGAAACCCAAATTTTTTTGTTTCTTTAAAAACAAAACTAGTTCTGATAAATTTCACTCAGGAAGCCAAGAAAAAAATCTTTCAACGAGTCATGCTCTCGCCCCACTTCTCCAACACATAAAAACCAATACATTTTTTTGCAGGTGCGCATCATCTGCTCCGACGGCACCCGCTACACCAAAGACATAGACATCGTGCGCAAATGCGCGTGTACGAAGAAATGCTACTGACTGACAAACGCCGCTACTCACAATTCTAACACGCAAGCTCACGTCCAGCTTGCGCCCAACGGCCAGCTCGGGCCCCACCGAGCCCCCACGACTGCCGATCTCAATCAGCATATACTTAACTTGAAACCATCCGTCGCCCCCCAGCCCCCGCACGAGCCCTACAAACTCACGTTCTTCGTCGAGAACGAGACCGACAATGCAAGACACTTGCAACTGACTGATTTAACCGAATCTCAAAGCCATAGACAGACGTATAGTAATTATTATGACGACGTTATCGTAGAGAGCTACGAAAACCCTGTAGATAAGACGAAATCCCCGAGGTACGGCAAAGGACTCGGACACGAATCGTACTGCGTCCTGTCCGCGCTGCTCTACTTCGTCACGGTTACCAGTTTCGTTTATTTAGCCATTTTGTGGATCAAGCAGAGGATGTACATAAGGATGGAGCAGATGCACTGGTGGTGAAGATTTCATTTCATCCTGGATTGACTTATACGCTTTATCGCGCAGAGTGGCCATTTTACTTCTTTTTTCTTTTTTTGTTTTTGACAAACATAGTAGTGGACATCGAAATCTAGGGTGAAATTGCCATTCTGTTGTGTGAAACATAAATTTTCTCTGTTGCATGCGCTAGAGATATATATTAGCATCTGCATGTTCGACATGTATGTTAAGCGCCTAATAGTATTAGCAAGTGGTTTGTTCCTCTTGTATTACTTTGCTTTAATTTACGTACCTTATTTTTACTACAGACTGTATTTTTTTAACTTGCCTACTTACAGTTTTACCTCGATTTTTTACGATTACATGACAATGTATAATATAGCGTTGGTGTTTTGGCGCACTGATTGATCAAGACACGATTAGATAGTATAATAAGTACTATTTTGACATGACAAATACACTCAGAACTGACTACGAAACCCGATTGAATTGTTAGAATTGTGACTAGCGGCATGGCCCTTGACTTACAAGGTTTACTAACTTAGAATAGTTTAATGTGTAAAACACTTCAAGAACTTTGTACGTTTACGTAATTTAAATATTTAATTTAAAACGTTAATAACATCACGCAATACCTTAATATAGAAATAATTCATTCTAATTTGTTTCTTCTTCAGAACGATTTTGTATAGACGTATGCAAAGTGATAGAAACACTTCAACTGACGTAATTTATTTAAGACTTATTTAAGATTATATCGTTACCATTATTACTGCCATTTCGGTCACTTTACATACAAAAAGTTTTACAAAATTAGGGAACGCCTGAAGTGATGCAACCCGCAATACACCAGTGTAAAGCGGGCTGCAGCTCATCAGAATAACCCCATCTGAAATTTATTTATTTCTAACTCTCTACTAAACGTGAGAATAAAATTATTTTATAGATTGTATATTATAATTATACATACATCCATGTATTACATTAAGTTCTACCTGTTGTAATTTAAGTTAGATTTCCACATTACTCATAGGCCAATAATATTTATACATACACCAAGTTTTGTAACACAAATGTTAATTTATGCCTAATAGTTGTAATTTATATCTAAACTTGTGTATAAAAATATATTAAATTTATCGTATGATTAAACTTTTTCTCACCTCCAATGTGTACTCTAACCTCAATCCAACTCTTCACCTAAAAAGTTTCAACGACAAAAACCACCACTCTGAACGTTGTTGACTTCATTTGAACCACAAATATCTTCTTGTTAACTTAATTTAAACCATTTTTGAACAAAACAATTTTAAAGAAAAAGTGACATTTGAAGATTTTCGCACAGAATAAGTACTGCCAACAACACCACGACCATGTCCCTAGCCTAAACCATTAAACTCGACATCGCCCCTACAATAAACGCTATAAAAGCGGCTACTTTATACAAATCTTAAAAGTTTCCATTATTTTACAACGCCAAAGAGAAATTTCGTCGTTTTTTTTATTTTAGTTGTTTTTTGTGGCACCCTGCGGCGTTACGTCCCAGCCGCAAAACCCCTAAATCGAATGTTTTGAGCGCACGCCGGCGACCCCAAACTTCGTTTCAAATGTCATTAATCTGTCAAATAAAAATCATTCAAGAATAATGTGTTTATTTTTTCGCGTTCGTGTATAATTAAAAAATATGTTGGAGTTATTTTTCGTTAAAAGCGACTTTAGTGTTGGCTGAGCTAATTTTTTGTTGGTGTATCGTTTCAAGTGTTGTCATTCCGTCAAATTATACTTTTATGTTAAAAATCCGTTTTGTAACGTTTTATTCAAAGAAACAGAATGGGACAGACCACCAGTGGCATACCAAGTAAGGTTACCGCTTAATTTGCATGTTTATTTCTTTAGTTCTTTTTTAGTAGGTGTGTTTTTCTTTTGCTTTGTTTTTGAGGTTATGAGTTTGTTTTATTTTATCGGAGACGCATCGGGTTTTAAGTGTTCGAGTATTTGTGTTGATAAGGTGCATGGGTTTATTGTAGTTGATAATTTGATAACAGGAGTGACAAAAATCTGGTGCGTAGAGGAAGCGGCTGCATAAAGGTTAAAGGTTAAATTTGGACTTTTGTGTTGTTGTTTAATGATTGGTTATGTAACGAGAGTGGACCCAAACGGGCCAGACGATCTGTTTAGATGACAAAATAATGCGTAATCAGGCTTATTTTCCACGGAATTATCAAATCTGTGGTGTGGTTGGACTTAACATGGCGGGTTATGCAACACGTTATACACGGGTGTATTTAGAGTTGCCTATCCTGTTTGAGTATGTTATGGGTGTCCCAACACACTTTTGATTAATAATAGTAATATAAAATAATAAAAAGATATTTTTGCGAAATAATAATTCCGACGTCGTTAATTTTTAAAAATTATGAAGCCAAACGTTTCACGACATATCTACAAGGTTCGGAATTGTCGTTCTATTTCTTGGACGCATATCTTCACTACGTATTTTGTTATACTGTATTTTTTAACAATAAACAGTAAATGTGTCATTTGTTTGATTTATTTAGTTATTTTTAGCCATAGTTTGAACCCGTACGAAATTGTCGTTTTTATTAATAATTTTATCGCTCATAATAAAGTATAGAGTGTATTGTACAATCAAATTAATCAGTGATTTATTATTACCTACGATAATGATTATGCGGACTGGAAATTAATGTTAATAGAAACCTATTAAGCAAAACTGATTGCTAGTTCGTTATTTATCAACGTAATTTCTATTATAATTGATTCCTATAATACCTCTGTACGGTTACTGGTATAAAACACTAAAGATCAGAATAATTCATGCAATGCAAATACATCGTATAAATACACCCAACCCGCACATTTTTACACAAATATTTTTACCAAGTATGTTATTTCCATGTAAATAAATTGCAGTGTTTGCCCTGTTTTGCATATGCATGAATCAAAATTCTCGATCAAGTGCTTGACATGCGTAAATATACACATAAATATAATCATTAAGATGATGCCATAAAATATTTTTAAATATTGTGCAGTTATGTAATGATGTTTTTCTAGCAATGTTTGAAAATTACTTAATTATAGTAAATAAAAGCAAAAGTTGTAGATAACTGTAACCTATTTAAGCTTATTTAATATACTAGGGTTTAATTTTTCGACAACTCTACCGCGCATGCGCAAAAAATACCGGGTGATTTTTTTTTTGATTTGTGGTCTAGTTACCGGAGAATTTGTTGACAGTGCAATTTCACAACATAACCTGTGGCTGAACTTAGAAAGGTAGGTTATGTTATGTCAATAAGAATTAAACCCTCGTTGGTTTTATTTATGATAAGATTGATAAGTAACACACACCACTCTCAATGATGTAGGTTTAAAATTAGGTTATTTCAACAGAACTCTCCTCGGCCCTGATCAGATCCCGTTTCTTTGAAAAATTATCAGAAAAATCAAAAATTTTTAAAATTGGTAATTCAAATGTCGAAAAATACGCAGATCGAGAAATCGAAAAATTGATCAGCTTTAATATGTATTAAAAAATGTTAAAACATGGAAATAGAAACATCAAAAAATAGTATATTCGAAAAAATGAAAAATCCAAACATAAAAAATTGAAATATGGATAAATCAAAATATCAAAAGATCGATAAATCGAGAAGTCGAAAAACCGAAAAATCCAAAAATCGAAGTAGCATTAAATCGGAGAATCGGAATATTGAACAATCGAAAAATGATAAGATTGAAAAAATGGAAATCGTCAAAAAATCATAAAATCGAAAGTTGAAAAATCGAAAAATTAAATGTCGAATAACTGAAAAAAATAAACGGGAAATCGCAAAATCCAAAATTAAAAAATCGAAAAAATGAGAAATTAAAAAATTGAGAAACCGAGAAATTGAAAAATCCCAAACTGAAATGTTCCAAATTTGGGAAATCGAAAAACCGAGCTCTAAAATTTAAAAATCGGAAAATTAAAATTTCGGAAATCAAAAAATCGGGAAATTGGACAATTGAAAAATTGAACGATAGAGAAATCGAGGCATCAAAAAATTGAGGAATTGAAATATTAGAAAATTCCAAATTTGAAGTATCGAAAAATTGAGTAATCAGAATATTGCGAAATTAAAAATTGAAAAAAAAAAATAGAGAAATTGAAAAATCGAGAAACCAAAGTGCTGAATCTGAAATATCAAAACTTGATAAATCGAAAAACTGAAAAATCGAAGAAAAAATAAAAAATTGAGAAATCGAAAAATCGGGATAATGATCAATCGAAAAATTATAAAATTGAAAAAATCGAAAAACTAAAAAAACGAAAAATTTAAAAACCGAAAGCTTAAAGATTGAAAAAAACCGTAAAATCTATGACCGATAAGTCGAAAATCGAAAGATCGAGAAACCGAAAATGGAAAAATTAAAAAAAAAATTGAATGTCGAATAATTGAAAAAAAATAAATGGGAAATTGGAAAATCCAAAATTTAAAAATTCGAAAAAACGAGGAATCGAATAACTGAAAAATGTCAAAACTGAAATATTGAAAATTTGGGAAATCGAAATATTGGAAAATCGAAACATGGAAAAATTAAAAATCGAAGAATCAAAAAATTTAAAAATTTAAACATCTAGGAATTAAAACCTCAAAAGATCGAGAAATCGAAAAAAAAATCGGGAAATTGAACAATCGAAAGATTAAACACCCAAAAATTGAAAGATCGAGAAAACGAAGCATCAAAAAATTGAGGAATTGAAATTTTAAAAAATTCTAAATCTGAGTTTTCGAAAAATTGAATAATCAAAAATATCGCGAAATTAAAAATTAAAAAAAAAATTAGAGAAATTGAAAAATCGTAAAACCAAAGTGGTGAAACTGAAATATATCAAAAGTTGATAAATCGAAAAACTGAAAAATTAACGAAAAATTAAAAAATCGAAAAATTGAAGAACCGAAATTTTTAAAAATTCTAAAATTGGAGTACCTATCGAAAAATTAGAAAATCGGGAAATCGAAAAGTCAAAAAATCGAAAAGTTGAAAAGCTGAGAAATCGAAAAATCGGGATAATGATCAATCGAAAAATTATAAAATTGAAAAAATCGAAAAACTAAAAAAACGAAAAATTTAAAAACCGAAAGCTTAAAGATTGAAAAACCGTAAAATCTATGACCGATAAGTCGAAAATCGAAAGATCGAGAAACCGAAAATCGAAAAATTAAAAAAAAAATTGAATGTCGAATAATTGAAAAAAAATAAATGGTAAATTGGAAAATCCAAAATTTAAAAATTCGAAAAAACGAGGAATCGAATAACTGAAAAATGTCAAAACTGAAATATTGAAAATTTGGGAAATCGAAATATTGGAAAATCGAAACATGGAAAAATTAAAAATCGAAGAATCAAAAAATTTAAAAATTTAAACATCTAGGAATTAAAACCTCAAAAGATCGAGAAATCGAAAAAAAAATCGGGAAATTCAACAATCGAAAGACTAAACATCCAAAAATTGAATGATCGAGAAAACGAAGCATCAAAAAATTGAGGAATTGAAATTTTAAAAAATTCTAAATATGAGGTATCGAAAAATTGAATAATCAAAAATATCGCGAAATTAAAAATTAAAAAAAATAGAGAAATTGAAAAATC